AAGAAATATATTACTGCCGAATACAAATGCGATGCCCAGAAACTAGCTCCATTTATCAAGAAGTACTTGAAGTCAGCCGTTGCCAACGGAAAGCTGATCCAAACAAAGGGCAAAGGTGCCTCTGGTTCGTTCAAACTGTCGGCTTCCGCCAAAAAGGAGCCCAAGCCAAAGGTTGCATCTGTCGAAAAGAAAGTGAAAACTAAGAAGGTGGTCTCATCGGCAGCAGCCAAGAAAACAGCAAGCCCCAAAAAAGCAGCCGGAGCTGGCGACAAGAAGCTAAAGGCAAAGAAGGCAGTCGCCACCAAGAAGACCGCCGAGAAGAAGAAAACTGAGAAGGCAAAGGCCAAGGAAGTAAAGAAAACTGGAACCGTGAAAGCGAAGCCTGCTGCGGCAAAGGCAAAGTCGAGCCCTGCAAAGCCAAAGCCAAAAGCAAAGGCAGTAGCAGCAGCGACGTCTGCCAAGCCCAAGAAGACGACGAAAAAGCCCGCTGCTCCCGCGACCGTCAAGAAGCCGAAAGCAAAGACGACGGCGGCCAAGAAGTAAATTGCGAAATGGTACACGGTGGTGTACATGGTCGCACTTGCACTCGAAATTTTAGATGTATACATCTGAAATGGATTTAAACAAGCCCTTTTCAGGGCTACAAAACTATACGAAAAGAGATACAAATTATCGAGCCTTGAATTACTTATGATAAGCCACAGATATTGATTATTAGCGTAACTTAGCGTTCCTCGACGCAGACGCCGATCTAAAAGAGTTTTTCAAAACAGAACCTAGCCGAACTGTTCGCCTGGAGAACGATGCACAGGCATAGTGTATATAGATTGTTTTGGTCTCTAGCAAATCGAAGATTGCAGTTAACTGATCTTTTTATTAAATATTGTCAAAATTGAAAATGGCATTCTTTGGAAAAACATTTTTGTGGCCCTGAAAAGGGCCTTTTTGGGTTTTGCTCTGCAGAGAAACAAATTTACTTGGAGCTTGTGTACTTGGTGACAGCCTTGGTTCCCTCACTAACAGCGTGCTTGGCCAACTCTCCCGGCAGCAGTAGGCGCACAGCCGTTTGGATTTCCCGACTGGTGATGGTTGAGCGCTTGTTGTAATGAGCCAAACGAGATGCTTCGGCAGCAATACGCTCGAAGATGTCATTCACAAAGCTGTTCATGATGCTCATCGCTTTCGACGAAATACCAGTGTCAGGGTGGACTTGCTTCAGAACCTTGTAAATGTAGATGGCATAGCTCTCCTTCCTCTTGCGCTTCTTCTTCTTGTCGTTCTTGGTGATGTTCTTCTGAGCCTTTCCAGCCTTTTTGGCTGCCTTTCCACTAGTCTTGGGCGGCATTTTATTTCACTTCACTTTTACAGTTTACACTTTGTGTTCCTGGCGTGTTGGACCACAAAACCTTATACTTTTATTTGAGCAGTCTATTCAGGTTTGAGATACAGACGAAAAACCCACCCCTACGATGAACGCCCAGACTGACGGAAAAAGTATAAATATAGCGACGGGTGTCGGCTTCTCAACATTCGTTTGTGAACAGTGAAAAATAAATATCTGCTATTAAAATGTCTGGTCGTGGTAAAGGTGGCAAAGTGAAGGGAAAGGCAAAGTCTCGCTCGAACCGTGCCGGTCTTCAGTTCCCCGTTGGTCGTATTCATCGTCTGCTTCGCAAGGGCAACTATGCCGAGCGTGTCGGTGCTGGCGCTCCTGTTTACCTGGCTGCCGTGATGGAATACTTGGCCGCTGAAGTTCTTGAGTTGGCTGGCAATGCTGCCCGTGACAACAAGAAGACGAGAATTATCCCTCGCCATCTGCAGCTGGCCATCCGCAACGATGAGGAGTTGAACAAGCTGCTCTCAGGCGTCACCATTGCTCAGGGTGGTGTTTTGCCCAACATCCAGGCCGTTCTGCTGCCCAAGAAGACCGAGAAGAAAGCATAAGTGCTCCAATAGCAACAATATACATTCTTGTACATACACATATAAACCCAAACGTCCTTTTCAGGACGACCAAAACATGACAAAAGATTTAAGAGAATTTTCATAATTTTAAAGTATAAATAAAATGCTCCATGCAGGCTAACGCACATTTTAGTTGGTAGCGAAGAAGTTGCAGGGAATAAAAGAAGTACAGTTGTGCTCGACGCATTGGAAATTGTGATATTGTGCCTAATATTTTCTGTCGTGGGGGATATGACAAACAAACCTTTTTTTTGCCCACCTACGCAAGTACCCTTTTCCAACATATTGCAGCACTTTGACTAAACATTCTGCCTACCGCGATATCTCTCTGGGTATTCTAATTTTCTACCGCAGGAGAGGAAATAGCACTAGGGACCATGTAATTTTCCAACAGCATCACGCTTAATGCTTATGCTTATGCAGCGTACTTTGATGGGAGCACACTTTTATTATTAAAATACAAGTTTTGAAAATGTGTCTTCTCTTTTAGATTATTTTGTGGTCCTGAAAAGGACCGATTGTTTACTTTCGAACAGGAGACTGAACAAATTTTCTTAACCGCCGAAACCGTACAGCGTGCGGCCTTGCCTCTTCAGAGCATACACAACATCCATGGCTGTGACTGTCTTCCTCTTGGCGTGTTCGGTGTAGGTGACGGCATCACGGATAACGTTTTCCAAAAACACCTTCAGCACTCCACGAGTCTCCTCATAGATGAGTCCCGAGATACGTTTTACACCGCCACGACGAGCCAAACGGCGGATAGCGGGCTTCGTGATACCCTGGATGTTATCACGCAGAACCTTGCGATGACGCTTAGCGCCTCCCTTTCCCAAGCCTTTGCCACCTTTACCACGACCAGTCATTTTTTTTCACTACCTTGCTTCACGAAACAAATATCAGGAACGAATGTTGTACTGCCGAAAAGCGCACTCCTATTTATACTAAAACACCACCGAAACACGAGTGAGTCCGAATGATATGCTCATCTCGCTCGGGAAATGAAATAGCATGCTTCGGGCTGCTCTCGCTCTCGTTTCAACCCTCCGCCAGGAGAATGCTATATAAGCAAGCATCAGTGCCTGCGATCGCTTATTGTAAATTCGAATTTCAAACGTTGAAGTGAAAATTGAAGATGGCCCGTACCAAGCAGACTGCTCGTAAATCCACTGGTGGCAAGGCGCCACGCAAACAACTGGCTACTAAGGCTGCACGTAAAAGTGCTCCAGCAACCGGTGGCGTGAAGAAACCTCATCGTTATCGCCCTGGCACTGTTGCCCTGCGTGAAATCCGTCGTTACCAGAAGAGTACCGAGCTGCTGATCCGCAAACTGCCTTTCCAGCGGTTGGTTCGTGAAATCGCTCAAGATTTCAAAACCGACTTGCGTTTCCAGAGCTCGGCAGTAATGGCACTGCAGGAAGCTAGCGAAGCCTATCTGGTCGGTCTCTTCGAAGATACCAACTTGTGTGCCATCCATGCCAAGCGTGTCACAATCATGCCCAAGGACATTCAACTGGCCAGACGTATTCGTGGCGAGCGTGCTTAAGTTGATATTTCTTCGACAAGCGCATAGCAATTGTATTCAAATCGGTCCTTTTCAGGACCACAAAATAACTTCCATTGAGATTTTTTATTTCTGCATGCTAGTCGTATTATTTTTCTCAAATAAAGTATTTACATATATAACATATCTTTGCTTCGTCGTAGTCAGTTTGGCTACTCAATATTGTGCGAAAGCCTTGTTTTACTTATGCAATATAAACAAATCGGCAATTCAATGGGGACATCATCCATCCAATAAATTCTTACCGTATATGATTCGTATTAAATGTTCCGATGTCATGTCGACTTGTTATTCGAGTGGATATTCTTACGAGGGGCATTTTGAATAATTGTTTATAAAAAATGTGTGCATAGAAACCATTGTTTGTCTGTAGAAATCCTTTATACTCAATTTTAGTATTATACGCGCTTTTACAATGACCAATAAATTCCACATTTTTGATATTCTTGTTTATGGGACAGAAACTGTTTGACAAAGGTTTTTGAGGCTTCCACTAGTACCACTATCATGTATTAAAAGGCCGTTTAAAATATAAATATGTGAAAATATTATAAAAAAATAATGAAGAAATGTTCTTAAGATTCACACTAATTGGGGTAGACAATTAAATTTACGAAAAATAGATTCTTTCGATTTTTGCTTTGAGATAAATGTAGGTGGTAGTGCTATGTGGGTATGAAAGGCTGTTATTTGTGGCTAAATATTTGCAAAAATGGATCATAAATAATATTAAATTGAAAATCATATTGATTTCCTTAAGAAAAAAGTCTAACAATAACATATTTTTAAACATTTATATTTTTTGACCCCTAAATTCAGTGCTGAAAATACCCAGAAAGTAGTCTTTTTGTACTCTATAGGG